CCACTGTTGGCAAACATGTCTACACTACTTGACTCCATATTATTGCCTTCTTCTTCATCATCACTCAACAACATTATACTACAAGACTCYGGGGAGATWTGAGGTTCTYTCAACTGTTTGYTTGTTTTGGAAGAATGAAGTKGTTTGGTGGGCATCTTGAAGGTATYTTCGGTGCTGTTTGTTCTGGATTTTTTATCTGGTTGTGCTGGTCTTTCCTCCTGTGTTAAAAAAATAAAACATTTATATTTTGTTTATTCTTCATTATAACCAAGCTTTCGAACTACAAGCGCATCTTCAGGGCTAAGAATAAGTTGTTACAAACTTATTAATAATTATTATTAATAATAATAATATAAAGAGGCTTGTAAAGCGCCTATACAAGCCAGTTCTAGGCGCTGTAAAAAATTATAATAAATACAATACTAACATAGATTACAAATCATAAGCAAGTCTAAATAAATAAGTCTTAAGTTCAGTTTTCAAAGATTCAAGAGAGGTATTGTTCCCTATAGGATTAGGCAGAGAGTTCCACAACACAGGAGCAGCAACGGTGAATGGTGAACGGTGAACAGTAAACATATTTAAATTTCAAACAATTGTGTGCTCACGCGCACTTACAATAACCAATAGACGTACAGGAAAAATATGTAAGCACATAAAGAATAACCAAAAAACTTACATGCGCAAGCACTCTGCTAATAAATAAATAAAAATAATAATAAATAAATAAAACATTGTATGTTTCTCATCACTCAAACTTTTCTTTATTGACATATTTATTCATCCATTGATTGTTTATAAATTCCTTCATTCCTTCACTATTTCTTTCATTCAATCAATCATTCTTTCAATCATCCATTCATTCATCCATTTATTTTGTCATTTAATCAATCATTCCTTCAATCATCCATTTATTCATTCATTTATCCATTCATTTATCCATTCATTCATTCATTCATCCATTCATTTTTTCATTCATTTATTTATTTATGCATTCATTCATTCTTTCATTCATTCATCCATCCATCCATTCATTCATCCATTCATTCTTTCATTCATTCATCCATTCATTCAATCAATCATTCCTTCAATCATCCATTTATTCTTTCATTCATTTAATCATTCATTCGATGAATGATTCCTTAGTTCGTTCCTTCCTTCATTCGTTGGTTTGTTTGTTCGTTGATTCATTGTGTGAGTGGGTGTGTGCATTCATTCATTGGTTCCATTACTAACTCACTCAAGTTCATATCTAACCTTATCATCTTGTGGGATTCCCATCTCTTTCTCATCAAAATTGTCTCTTTTTCGTTTAATTCCATTCAAACGTGTCTTACGTTTGACATTCATGGTAGGTTTCAAGTCTATATCAAGTATCGATGGCGATCCAGGATTGTCCTCAGAAGCAACAGGATAGTCTATCGTATCGTCATTCACTTCAGTTTTAATCTCAAGGTTCCTTAGAATACTTGGCGATGGTCCGTTATCCTTGTCAGTCGGTTTTAATTTTTGAATATCGGAAATAATAATCCTTAAGTCTTTTCTACCAGGCTGTTTTCTCTCTTCTTTAACATACATCCCTACAGTTTTATCCTTAGATATAACATTTTCTTCACTATATTCGCTTTTGGTTGTCAATGAAGTCCTTCGAGAAAGTAAGTTTTCAAAGATGGTTGGAACGGCAGGAGTTAATGGTGAAGAAGAATCAACGTCATCCAAATCAGCTCCAGGGACTAATATGTCATCTATTTCACTTGGATTTTTTAAATGTTCTTCTCTATCCTTGGGTATAATGCTGATATCATGTAAAGCCGCATCAGATAAAGGTGCTCTCTTATTCAATGTCAAAAACATTGGGGTACTCGTTAATGAAGGATATCCACATGTTTCATCATCGTCAAGGTCATTTCTATCTTCTTCGTAACCTTTTTTAGTCCCGTTCATTGCCCCTAAATTACTTAGTTTGTTTTCTTTATCTTTTGCAACTGTTCTGGACGATGAATTCATTTCTACGCAGTGCTTTGTAGACCCTATTATATTTTTGTTTTCTTTTTCTGTATTTCTTCCAGTTGTTTTGACACTATCTTCTGCCACATCTTTAAGACATGCAGCAGAGATRAAGTTATTTTGCTTTTCTGTGCAGGATTCATCATCACTATTCTTGGATTTTGTTTGGTGTTTTGGTATTGCGATCAAGTCTTTTGTCTGACATCTTCCGTCATGGTTAGTGCCAAAGTTTTCAGGAAAGACTTCAGTGTATCGAACTTTCTTTTTTCTGTCTTTAGATGTCGTCAACTTGGAAGGATTTTTAACTTCTTGTGAGCTGTGTGAACTGCTACTTTCTTTGCTTGAGGCTTCTTCCCTGAAAAGGTAAAATAAAGAATAGATTAAAGATTTCATAACAGACCTCTTTCTTTTCAGACCATGTACATTCCCTAGAGTATTACTCCTTTGTTTAATGATTGCACATGAGAAGACACATGAATATGAATACAATTCAAACAAAGAATCTTATTCTCAAGACCATGTGCCATTCCCTAGAGTATCATTACTTTGTTTAACGGTTGCACATGAGAAGACACATGAATATGGATACAACTCAAACAAAGAATCTTATTCTCAAGAGAATGTGTCATTCCCTAGAGTATCATTTCTTTGTTTAACAATGGCACATGAGAAGACACATGAATATGGATACAACTCAAACAAAGAATCTTATTCTCAAGAATGTATCATGGACAGCATGGAGTCCTATTACATATACTAATACTAGATTTTTGAAAACACAAATTCATATTCTTGTTTATCTCCAGCTTCAGGTTGTCATGGTATCGATGAAGTATAGATCTTTTATTTTGAACATTTGTTGTGGGCTTCCTGTGTTTTCCACAGGTAGCCCAGCTGACCAGGTCTCAGCCCAAGTGCAACTCTGAACTCCAGAATCTGGTCATTCTCAACAAATTATCAAAGAATCTCGGAAACCCTAAGATTGAAAGAACTATGATTGATTAGAATGTTTCTAGTTATATTTGCAAAAACAATTGCCTTGAAAGTTGGTAAAATGGTAGTGCAGTGGAAAGCAACTTTTTTTCCTGGAATCAAAGTAAAAGACCGTTCATTTAAGGAGAGTGCAATCTAGCTGTAAAAGACCTTTTTTAGTTCCAAACTACAACTGTGTTTCTTGATTACAGACTCATTTACACAGGGTTAGCTTCGTATCAGTGTCTAATATTCACAAATAGCAACGGTAAAGTAAAGAATGCACAACTTCAACAACACTTTTAATTCCACCAACTTTCACCGGAACATGTGAATATTCTGCACAAAGTTTATGCTAATCTGGAGCAACAGAGACCTCGAAACTGGAGCATTCAAAAATTATTTAAGAACTCGACAGTGCAGTACTAACAAAATAGCCAGATTTCTGGCTGCTGTGTGCAAGGGTTTCTCTGAGTCTCTGGTATCTTATTGAGCATGCGCAGGAAGAATGACAGGACTCTGAGGTTATGAGTTGCAAAAATGAATAGCATAAAGTACTTACATGATATCGACAAGATCTCTACTGACTTGGTGTAAAACTTCAGGTGAAAATGATCCTTGAGTTCTTAGTTCTAAATCGAAGAAACATCAGTCATATTTATCGCATGGGTAGGGAGGGGAGGGTGGGGGGAAATAGAGCACAAATGGTACCTTTTTGAAGTGGTACTTCTATTACATGGACATCTTTAGGACCTTACCTGGTGTCCACTTCATAGAGGTTTGCAGCTTACTCAAGCTGGTATTGAAAACCCTCAACCCCAACAGCTACAGGTATGAATNAAATGATCCTTGAGTTCTTAGTTCTAAATCGAAGAAACATCAGTCATATTTATCGCATGGGTAGGGAGGGGAGGGTGGGGGGGGGGAAAGAGCACAAATGGTACCTTTTTGAAGTGGTACCTGTATGAAGTGGACACCTTCAGGACCTTGCCTGGTGCCCACTTCATAGAGGTTTGTTTTACAGTAAATACAGTGGTACCTGTATTAAGTGGACACCTTCAGGACCTTGCCTGGTGCCCACTGAATAGAGGTTTGTTTTACAGTAAATACAGTGGTACCTCTATTAAGTGGACACCTTCAGGACCTTGCCTGGCGCCCACTGAATAGAGGTTTGTTTTACAGTAAATACAGAGGTACCTGTATCAAGTGGACACCTTCAGGACCTTGCCTGGTGTCCACTTCATAGAGGTTTGTTTTACAGTAAATACAGAGGTACCTGTATCAAGTGGACACCTTCAGGACCTTGCCTGGCGTCCACTGAATAGAGGTTTGTTTTACAGTAAATACAGTGGTACCTCTATTAAGTGGACACCTTCAGGACCTTGCCTGGTGCCCACTTCATAGAGGTTTGTTTTACAGTAAACACAGTGGTACCTCTATTAAGTGAACACCTTCAGGACCTTGCCTGGTGCCCACTTCATAGAAATTTGCAGCTTACTCAAGCTGGTATTGAAAACTCTCAACCCCAACAGCTACAGGTATGAATTTCATTGATTCCTTACTTTTAATCATTGTYTCAGCAGTAAATCTGTACTTGTCCCACCACTGATCTTTCTTCTTTATCTCATCTTGTTTCCTAACGWCAAAATCAAGCATCGTGAGTAATTAAAAGTACCGAATAGAAAACAAAGCAAAAACAAACCAAAAGCAATAATATTATTGTGTAGTTCCAGAAAATATCTATACCCCACCATGGAGGGAATTTGTAAAAGGATCCCCTACCCCCAGGAACTTCCAATTTTCTTCCATACAAACTCTGTAATTTTGTTCTTTTTCTGACCCCACTGACCCCTATTACTTAGCTTTTTCTCTGTTAAAGGTAATGTTTGAGAAGAAACAGAAACAAGAAAGCTTATTCCTAGGAAAAGGGAAACATGGTCTGGGCCAGGTTGTATGAAGGGTGGATAGTGCTAAGCTTATCCACTGGATAAATTTATTTAAGGGAAAACAGTATTAACTTATCTACTGGAAAAAAATTAACCATCCGCTAACAGTGTAGCGCTATCCACCCTTTGTACAACCGGGCCCTGAAGTGTAAAAACACTGTACACAAAGTAGAGAAGTCATTAAGTTTCATTCTCTTGGGAATAAGATTGTTTGTTTGAGTTGCATACATTATCATGTGTCGTCTTCTCAAGCACAATAGACTACTTTAACGATGCGGCAACTATCTTGATTTGCAAGGCATCATGGGTGGCCCAGGGGACAAAACAAAACAAATATGCTGAAATGACDGCCGCACAATATTTGAGAACATTTCCTCAGTTATGGAACTTTTCATTTCTTTTAATTTCTCTTGTCAAATTGTCTTGTTGTGAACTGTAAATGTCAATAGCCCTCTTCTGAGATATGCTTTGCTTGTCACGCACAAAGGTTTCAGTATGAGGATACGTGCTAAATTAAATTTATTCTTACCGCCTGTCACAAATGTCTGAGTATTTAGCACGTAGCCTCATACTGAGACCTTTGTGCGTGACAAGCGGAGCATAACTTGGAAGTGGGCTATTGACACCATCATTATAACAAAGCTTTGTATACACTGTATTTGCCCTCTGAATAACCCATACTATGTAATGCTGTCTGATTCAAGATGGCCGCCGTATCACAGACACAGTCCATTGGTAAACAAAAAATGATACTCTAGGGAATGACACATGGTCTAAAATAGAAAAACATTAAAATCAAACATAATAAAAGATTGTCCTTACATGGACTTCAATCATAATAATTACCTTTTCAGTTTTCCGTGTAAATGATCATACTTCTCTTTCAAGTCTTTTAATGTCTTAGTCAAACTGCAATAGTATGGAATAATTCATTTATCATTCTATGTTATATACTTCAAAGGTATCTGGTATAGAGAGTATTTGGCTGGAATCATGAAGCAAATTGATAAAAATTGTATACACTTTGTCGCAAAACTTTTTTTCCTGGAAATTTAATGTTCCATTTTTTAGCTCGAATAGGGCAAAAAATGACCTACTACCATCCCCACAGTTTCAAAACAAGTAAGATGACCCCTTTTTTATTGCATTTTTGACTTTTATATATGTTTAAGTAGAAAAAGTTTTTAAAAATTCTATCGAACCCAAGTGTGAGTCACAAACTACCTTAAATCCTTCCTATTGTGTCATGATTAACCAAAAATCATTCTAAACTGCTCTACAAATGATTTTAATTTATTAAGCTTTGAGATAGCTAAGTACATTTTTTCTGTTATTGGCTTGCAAATATTCCCTTGGTAGCCAAGGCACTTCAACATATTAGCTAAAACACTGATTTTGTAGCGAAAGTACTGTAATTCAAACTAGGAATTACCCTACATTACCACTCTTTTCATTGCTATGCACTGATCAAGACAACAGTCGCGACAGGGAAATTGGGCAATATACTTTTCCGTCAATCAAATAAATTGGTTGGTACCTTGATATTCTCTGATTTGAAGCAGCAGTGAATAGAGTGGTAAAGTGTGCATTGGCATTTATACCAGCAGAGCGGTGAAAGCGGTGCGCGAAGCATGAGTTGACAAAATGACCGGTCCATTTTTGGAGCTTGAAAGAACAAAGCAAACGTGGCAGTAAAGTGAAATTGTTTTTGTTCTTCCCTTTCATATGTATTTCTGCTTCTCGTAGGCACATATATTATCAAAAAAATATTTTAGTCAAAAGAAAACAACAAAAAAATACACAAAAGTTGGGTTACAGTAGCCTGGGAATGAGGGCCGGTGGCAAAACAGCTAAACAAGCTGTGATTGGCTGAAACAGCTGGTACAAAGTAAATAAGCTATAGCTGATAAATAATTATCAAAACTTATTATTACTTTGATTGATTACTTATGAATATTTTCATGACAGTATTGCACACGTCAGACATACTCTAACACCACTCTTAAGATATTAACCAATCATAATCAACAATGAAATCAATGTAGTCAAGTGAGAGCCAATCAGGATCAAGCAGCAAAGCTTGTCAGAGAAAGTATAACAGTTGTTGGCTGAGGTCAGAGAGTTAGTGATATTATGTTCTCTTGTGATTGGCTACAGCATTCACTCTACATCATGATTGTTAATAAGATGCGTCCAGGATAAATGCACAATAAATGCATTTAGTATAAATACACAGGTGATTACTGAAAATCTCGCGCAACTCGAGAAACTCATCACACGATAATCACCTCCAGCTATAATCCAAAATGGCGGCCAGCCGCTTTGTTGCTAGTCCTAATTTTAAATGCGTCTTTTATCTTCTTTTTTTCCTTTTTTTGAAATAATCACCTGTGTATTGATACTAAAACAATTATTCACCTCAGGCTCGGTGAATATCGCGAATAATAACCTCAACTTCGTTTTGGTTATTATTCCCCGACGTTCACTTCCCCTTTGGCGAATAATCTTTAAATAATAGTAGTGCTATGCAGTATACAGTAACACATTTCCATAACATGTTTCTTTACAAGTTTAAATTTGAACATTCTACTTGCCTACCTGACATTATCTTTTTTGAGTTCTTTATTCAGTTGGTTAAGAGTGTCATTCTTGTCTGCTAATTGTTTATTTTCTTGTTTTACTTTCTCCAATTCTTCTCTCTTACCTAACAAGAATGAAAACA